GGCAATTTATGTTCGCAACAGGAGACCCACAAGGCCCTTACCGGAAGGTGTAACGCCATATGAGGCTTGGTTTGGAGTTAAACCAGATCTGTCTATGCTTCGTGTTTTTGGTTCCATGGCCTAATACCGTGTTCCAGATGCAAAGAGACTCAAGCTGGACAGCAAAGCTCATTGGGGCCTCTTCATCGGCTTGAGCAATGAGAGCAAGGGATGGGTCCTTTGGGATCCTGTCACCAAGCGAGAAGTGGTTTCAAGGGATGTTGTCTTCTATGAAGACATGTCCCTTGCAGGTTGGCATAAGTTTTCCTCTTCCTCCTCTCTACCCTCTATCCAACAGGAACCAGCAAGCGCACCTGAGGAAACAACACAAGAGGAGGAAGAAGATGACACCGATTCTGACCATAGCGGACCGATCATCGATCTCCCTCAAGCCGTCGTCAACGAGTCCAACCGTGCCATGCCAGTGCCACCAGCAGCTACTCAACCAAGTGGAGATGAAGTTCAGCCATCAAATGAAGACAATCCACCGCAGCAAGTCACCGTTACATCACCACCAAAGGAGCAGCAGCCAACAGTCACAAACCAGCCAGCTATATCAACACCAACCTCACAATTTCAACGCCAACCGGATCAGCCCACCACTACGCCATCAAACCCATCACCAGCCATCACTCCAGAGGCAACTACAGAAGCTCATCATCATCCCATGCAGCAGCAATCAACAGCTACAAGACCCCAAGTACCTACATCAACACCATCTACGACTCTTCCTAGCAACAAGTCAACCGTCACCGCAACACCTCGTTCTCATACCACACGTTCATCACTTGTTCCAACGTCACCATCTTCAACACCGAGCAACAATACCAACCGGCCCCAACCATCACCACCTCTCGACAAGGCAGCGTCATCATCAATTCCCAAGCTTCTAGTCTCAAGATCCCCACCAAGAGCATCTTCACAACCAACTATGCCGACAAACGTTTCAGCTTCACCGCCACGAGTCACCATACCTAATCCTCAAGTCAACACCGATAATCAAGATATTTCCACGCCAGGAGAAGAACAAGCAGCCGTGCCGCCGTCGCAGCCGATGTCGCAGCCGTTGTCTCAGCCGCAAATGACCGCATCAACGCAATCAAACACTGTGAGACCGAACCCTACCACTAATGTGTCTCAGCCAACTGAGGAGTTTGGTAAAGGTAAACGAGTCCGCAAGGTAAAAAAGCCCTTCAATTTCATGGTTGACATGTCATCAAGGTGCACATGTGAGGAGAGTGAGAATTGCATTCACAAGAAGGTAGAGGCAATATGCATGGCAGCATCACACCTTCCGCGAGAGCCCTTGAGTCGTCGTGAGGCAATAGCAAGTCCCGAAAGAGAGCATTGGTTGAAAGCCGAGGAAGAGGAGATTGAGAGTCTCATGAAGCGAGGTACATGGCGTCTTGTTGAGCCACCTCCAGGGAAGAAGGTAATTGGTGTCAAATGGGTGTACAAGATCAAGGTAAAAGGTGATGGTAGCCTCGATAGGTACAAGGCAAGGTTAGTGGCAAAAGGTTATTCCCAAATTCCAGGTCTTGACTTCACCGAAACCTTTGCCGTGGTAGCAAAGTACACCACGGTACGAGTCCTCCTCGCCATAGCCGCATATCTTGGTCTCCATATCCATCAAATGGATGTCAAAAACGCATTTCTCTACGGTGTCTTGGAAGAAGAGGTATACATGGCACAACCCGAAGGTTATGATGACGGTACGGGTCGAGTGTGTCGCTTGGTAAAGTCCCTTTATGGTCTCAAACAGTCCCCACGGGTTTGGTATCATGCTCTTGAGCAGGTACTTTTCAAGCATGGTTTCACAAGGTCCATGAGAGACAACGCTCTGTACTTCATGCACACGAGTGAGGGGGAGTACATTTGGCTCTTGGTATATGTCAACAAGGTGAAAGGTATTCTCACGAGTGCATTCACGATGACCGATCTTGGTGAGCCGAGTCATTATCTTGGTATGAACATTGTGAGAGATCGTAAGTCACGGTCCATCTTCCTATTCCAGCAAAGGTACATCCAAAAGGTCCTTGAGAGGTTTGGTCTTGATGATAGCAAGCCATCACCTACCCCACTTCCTTCCAAATTTGTCCCTTTGTCTTCACATCAGCCCTATGAAGAGAGAGAGTCAAGCCTTGATATCATAGGTATTAAAGAGTTGTGTCTTGAGGAGAGTGAGCATCATGGTGAGAATTCACTGAAGGTATCCCCACAAGACCTAGCTCTGTACCAAAGTCAGGTTGGGTGTCTCATGTATGCAGCCCTATGCACAAGGCCCGACTTAGCATTCACGGTATCTAAGCTAGCTCAACACATGAGTGCCCCTTCACCTATTCATATGCATGCAGCCAAGCGAGCTCTTCGGTATCTCAAAGGTACTTCTAATCATGGTCTTCTCTTCCAAGCCAGCCCATATGCAAGCTCCCTCCAAGGCTTTACCGATGCAGATTGGGCGGGAGAATTGAGCACACGCAAGTCTACCGGCGGCTACATCTTCCTCATGTGTGGTGCCGCTGTTTCTTGGCAATCGCGCAAGCAAAGTTGTGTGGCACTTTCAACAACCGAAGCTGAGTACATGGCAATGACCGAAGGAGCAAGGGAGGCAATCTGGTTACGTGGACTCTTGGAGGAATTGAGGCAGCCGCAAACTCAACCAACTCCGCTCTACGTGGACAACACTTCAGCCGTAGCTCTTTCCAAGAACCCGGTTCATCATGGGCGTACAAAACACATCGAGGTGCAGTACCACTTCATTCGTGAGCAACTAGAGAAGGGAGTTATCGCCGTCAACTTTTGCCGTTCATTCGATCAAGCAGCAGATTTCATGACCAAGGTTCTTCCACATGATGCATTCAACATGTGCAAGGCAAGAGCAGGCCTCATGACACTTCATGAAGCAGTGGAGCAGTTTGAGGAGAATGAGGAGTGTGAGGGGAAGAGACGTGGGCAGCAGCATGAAGTGTATGCTAAGGAGATGTGAAAGGAGCATCAGCATGGGGGTATGTGTGCTTCGGGTCTGGTGCGAGGGGGAGTGTTGGAGAATCGAGTTTCTGCCGCCCCAGCCCTTTGCACACAAGCAGCAGCAAGGGGGAATGTCGGCGATGAATCAGAGCTTCGGGAAGTACTTCGAAAGTTCCACCACCAATCAGATTTCAGCCGAAGACTCGATATAGTTCAAAGCTGCCTTCAAACCGAAGTGTTGGCAGTTTCTACAGGTTTCTACACATCAGAATCAGCTATAATAGAAATATCCAGAGTTTTCTTATTCATGCACCTCATGTGGCACTCAAAGTCACTCAAGGTCCATCCAATCTAGATTGTGCCCAAGTTACCAGGGAAGTTACATTGTCTATCAGCCTAGTTTGAGCTTTCAATCTGTCTTGTTTGTGATGCCTAGAGTTGTGCTTTAGTGGGCTTGTTAATCTTGAACATAGTGAAGTTTTACCTCATCCAGTCAATTCCAGCAGCCCTGCTAAGACTTTCCAGCCAAGTTTCCAGCCCTCCAGTAGTCACAGCTACTCTGTTTTACAAGTGCTTTCACAGGAACAGAAACAATGCCACGATCATCACGACACAATTGCTGTAGGGGCCAGTCCATGTTCCAACTGCTGTGCGGTAGAAATAATGCCATATGCGGACAAAGGGGTTTTCGCAACAGAAGTTGACGACTGGCGAAACCCATACGAACATGTTACAGCCCTAGATTGTTGACGAAAGAAACAGTGTCGCACGAATACGAAGGGCGGATTGCGCAAAAATTCGGAACATTCTCATCGATCCGTCCAATTGTTCTGAGCGAGACATGTGAGTGAGGTTTCGTCGCAACACCCCGAGGGCTACTTCAAACCCTGGGCGACATACTGTTAAAGCCAGGATCTCAAGTAAGAGAATTGGCCTTCAATTGCAAAACACTTGCAGCGCTTGTTACCCTATTTTTGTAGGTGAATTGACTGGCTGGTTAGGAAAGTGAGCGTGCGGCACACCCACGATTTTGCCCCTAGAGCAAATGCAAAACATTTTGCTGGTACATGAGATTGTTGTGTGTGACAGAGAAATTGCAGGCATTGGAGCTTCGTCACCGAACCAGTTTCCGAGCCTTGCTTGGTTCGGACTGAACTTGCGATTTGTCTTTACTTCGCACCCCTCGCTTCACACCTCGTCAGATTGTTCACCTCGCTAACCAATCGCAGCCCAGCTCCCCTCACCAACTGCAAAACAATTGAACTACTTGAGATCCTGGCTTTAAATGTATGCGAAATTGTTCGTCTGTCGGTGACGAAAGTTCAGTTGTCGTCAGACCTCAGAAACAACACGCCAGATCCCTTTCTGATTGGAGCTCGGTATGAACGAACTTGAGTTTTTAAATGGTAACTCCCCGTTTCGCGAAAGCATAACACCGACACCAGTCAGGCAGGTGCAACTTTTAGGGTTTCCAGGATTTACGGACTAAGAGCCCCTTTTGCCTCGGACCTCTGTGACTGGTGCCTTGCGTCTAGGAGGAGTCTCGCAGCACGTTTACGAGTCGCCCGTTCCTGAAGAGGCTCCGCGCTTGCTAATCGCTGAAGGCTTATTTCAGTTGTCCTAGTTACAGTCTCCGTGACTTTTTTTTAGTGTCACTTTTTCTGACTGTTTTTTTCTGACTGACTTTTTCTGACTGAAATAGATTCCATTGCCATAGTGAACGCGCGCCTGGTCAGTTCCTTGATTGACCTTAAACTCCCGTTGGCATTTATTGACATTAACATCCAGTGACATATTGAATGTAGAATTCATTGAAGCAGCAGGCATGCGGAATCATTTATCGCGCTCTAGGGCGACAGCAGCCAGAGAAGACAGGACTTGCTAAAAAACGAACTCCTGCCGCCACTAAATAACAGTCCCAAATCACTAGGCCTCGCGAATTTGCCGCACGGAGAGAGGGTTACCCGGTTACAGACCAGACAACACGCCTCGCGATGGAGGCAGCAGGCACGCGCAACCGCTCCTCCGCGCGTCACGGCGCGGCGGTGGCGTTCAGCGGGAGCGTGCGCCGATGGCGGAAGCAGTGGACCGCCGTGGGGCCCACCCGCCGCCTGCTGGTGCTCAGATGGACGCCGCAGCCCCCCCGCCCAACAGGTATGCGCCCTTTGAGGCGCCTCAAAAGCCAACAGTTATGCGCCCTTTGAGGCGCCTCAAAAGCCAACAGTTATGCGCCCTCGCCCTCGCCCTCGCCCTCGCCCTGCTACTGCTGCAGCCACCCGCCGCCTGCTGGTCCTGCGGTAGACGCTGCATCCCCTATTACCCGCCGTCGCCGCCACTGCCACCGCCACCGCCACCGCCACCGCAGATCTTGTTTGTCCCCCCTCACCTTGTTGACTTTTGAGTCGACTCAAAAGTCAACTCGCTGCCACCGCCACCGCCGTCGCTTCGCTGCTGCCGTTCTTGTTTGTCCCCCTCACCTTTTTGCGCCATCCCCATTTCCGCCATCCCCATTTCCGCCATCCCCATTTTTGTGCTCCCCCTTTTCCGGTCGATCACAACCGTCGATTCAGATGCAAACTGCCTCGCCATTCGTCGAAAACCGAAGTACATTCCGGTGAGAAAACGACTTCACGAATTCTCCTTCACCTTTTTTTTCTTCCTCGGTTTTTGTGAGGATCCGCCTTCCTTCATGCATCTTCTTTTGAGTCGACTCAAAAGCATCCTCCTTCCTTCATGCATCTTCTTTTGAGTCGACTCAAAAGCATCCTCCTTCCTTCATGCATCTTCTTTTGAGTCGACTCAAAAGCATCCTCCTTCCTTCATGCATCTTCTTTTGAGTCGACTCAAAAGCATCCTCCTTCCTTCATGCATCTTCTTTTGAGTCGACTCAAAAGCATCCTCCTTCCTTCATGCATCTTCTTTTGAGTCGACTCAAAAGCATCCTCCTTCCTTCATGCATCTTCTTTTGAGTCGACTCAAAAGCATCCTCCTTCCTTCATGCATCTTCTTTTGAGTCGACTCAAAAGCATCCTCCTTCCTTCATGCATCTTCTTTTGAGTCGACTCAAAAGCATCCTCCTTCCTTCATGCATCTTCTTTTGAGTCGACTCAAAAGCATCCTCCTTCCTTCATGCATCTTCTTTTGAGTCGACTCAAAAGCATCCTCCTTCCTTCATGCATCTTCTTTTGAGTCGACTCAAAAGCATCCTCCTTCCTTCATGCATCTTCTTTTGAGTCGACTCAAAAGCATCCTCCTTCCTTCATGCATCTTCTTTTGAGTCGACTCAAAAGCATCCTCCTTCCTTCATGCATCTTCTTTTGAGTCGACTCAAAAGCATCCTCCTTCCTTCATGCATCTTCTTTTGAGTCGACTCAAAAGCATCCTCCTTCCTTCATGCATCTTCTTTTGAGTCGACTCAAAAGCATCCTCCTTCCTTCATGCATCTTCTTTTGAGTCGACTCAAAAGCATCCTCCTTCCTTCATGCATCTTCTTTTGAGTCGACTCAAAAGCATCCTCCTTCCTTCATGCATCTTCTTTTGAGTCGACTCAAAAGCATCCTCCTTCCTTCATGCATCTTCTTTTGAGTCGACTCAAAAGCATCCTCCTTCCTTCATGCATCTTCTTTTGAGTCGACTCAAAAGCATCCTCCTTCCTTCATGCATCTTCTTTTGAGTCGACTCAAAAGCATCCTCCTTCCTTCATGCATCTTCTTTTGAGTCGACTCAAAAGCATCCTCCTTCCTTCATGCATCTTCTTTTGAGTCGACTCAAAAGCATCCTCCTTCCTTCATGCATCTTCTTTTGAGTCGACTCAAAAGCATCCTCCTTCCTTCATGCATCTTCTTTTGAGTCGACTCAAAAGCATCCTCCTTCCTTCATGCATCTTCTTTTGAGTCGACTCAAAAGCATCCTCCTTCCTTCATGCATCTTCTTTTGAGTCGACTCAAAAGCATCCTCCTTCCTTCATGCATCTTCTTTTGAGTCGACTCAAAAGCATCCTCCTTCCTTCATGCATCTTCTTTTGAGTCGACTCAAAAGCATCCTCCTTCCTTCATGCATCTTCTTTTGAGTCGACTCAAAAGCATCCTCCTTCCTTCATGCATCTTCTTTTGAGTCGACTCAAAAGCATCCTCCTTCCTTCATGCATCTTCTTTTGAGTCGACTCAAAAGCATCCTCCTTCCTTCATGCATCTTCTTTTGAGTCGACTCAAAAGCATCCTCCTTCCTTCATGCATCTTCTTTTGAGTCGACTCAAAAGCATCCTCCTTCCTTCATGCATCTTCTTTTGAGTCGACTCAAAAGCATCCTCCTTCCTTCATGCATCTTCTTTTGAGTCGACTCAAAAGCATCCTCCTTCCTTCATGCATCTTCTTTTGAGTCGACTCACAAGCATCCTCCTTCCTTCATGCATCTTCTTTTGAGTCGACTCAAAAGCATCCTCCTTCCTTCATGCATCTTCTTTTGAGTCGACTCAAAAGCATCCTCCTTCCTTCATGCATCTTCTTTTGAGTCGACTCAAAAGCATCCTCCTTCCTTCATGCATCTTCTTTTGAGTCGACTCAAAAGCATCCTCCTTCCTTCATGCATCTTCTTTTGAGTCGACTCAAAAGCATCCTCCTTCCTTCATGCATCTTCTTTTGAGTCGACTCAAAAGCATCCTCCTTCCTTCATGCATCTTCTTTTGAGTCGACTCAAAAGCATCCTCCTTCCTTCATGCATCTTCTTTTGAGTCGACTCAAAAGCATCCTCCTTCCTTCATGCATCTTCTTTTGAGTCGACTCAAAAGCATCCTCCTTCCTTCATGCATCTTCTTTTGAGTCGACTCAAAAGCATCCTCCTTCCTTCATGCATCTTCTTTTGAGTCGACTCAAAAGCATCCTCCTTCCTTCATGCATCTTCTTTTGAGTCGACTCAAAAGCATCCTCCTTCCTTCATGCATCTTCTTTTGAGTCGACTCAAAAGCATCCTCCTTCCTTCATGCATCTTCTTTTGAGTCGACTCAAAAGCATCCTCCTTCCTTCATGCATCTTCTTTTGAGTCGACTCAAAAGCATCCTCCTTCCTTCATGCATCTTCTTTTGAGTCGACTCAAAAGCATCCTCCTTCCTTCATGCATCTTCTTTTGAGTCGACTCAAAAGCATCCTCCTTCCTTCATGCATCTTCTTTTGAGTCGACTCAAAAGCATCCTCCTTCCTTCATGCATCTTCTTTTGAGTCGACTCAAAAGCATCCTCCTTCCTTCATGCATCTTCTTTTGAGTCGACTCAAAAGCATCCTCCTTCCTTCATGCATCTTCTTTTGAGTCGACTCAAAAGCATCCTCCTTGCTTCATGCATCTTCTTTTGAGTCGACTCAAAAGCATCCTCCTTCCTTCATGCATCTTCTTTTGAGTCGACTCAAAAGCATCCTCCTTCCTTCATGCATCTTCTTTTGAGTCGACTCAAAAGCATCCTCCTTCCTTCATGCATCTTCTTTTGAGTCGACTCAAAAGCATCCTCCTTCCTTCATGCATCTTCTTTTGAGTCGACTCAAAAGCATCCTCCTTCCTTCATGCATCTTCTTTTGAGTCGACTCAAAAGCATCCTCCTTCCTTCATGCATCTTCTTTTGAGTCGACTCAAAAGCATCCTCCTTCCTTCATGCATCTTCTTTTGAGTCGACTCAAAAGCATCCTCCTTCCTTCATGCATCTTCTTTTGAGTCGACTCAAAAGCATCCTCCTTCCTTCATGCATCTTCTTTTGAGTCGACTCAAAAGCATCCTCCTTCCTTCATGCATCTTCTTTTGAGTCGACTCAAAAGCATCCTCCTTCCTTCATGCATCTTCTTTTGAGTCGACTCAAAAGCATCCTCCTTCCTTCATGCATCTTCTTTTGAGTCGACTCAAAAGCATCCTCCTTCCTTCATGCATCTTCTTTTGAGTCGACTCAAAAGCATCCTCCTTCCTTCATGCATCTTCTTTTGAGTCGACTCAAAAGCATCCTCCTTCCTTCATGCATCTTCTTTTGAGTCGACTCAAAAGCATCCTCCTTGCTTCATGCATCTTCTTTTGAGTCGACTCAAAAGCATCCTCCTTCCTTCATGCATCTTCTTTTGAGTCGACTCACAAGCATCCTCCTTCCTTCATGCATCTTCTTTTGAGTCGACTCAAAAGCATCCTCCTTCCTTCATGCATCTTCTTTTGAGTCGACTCAAAAGCATCCTCCTTCCTTCATGCATCTTCTTTTGAGTCGACTCAAAAGCATCCTCCTTCCTTCATGCATCTTCTTTTGAGTCGACTCAAAAGCATCCTCCTTCCTTCATGCATCTTCTTTTGAGTCGACTCAAAAGCATCCTCCTTCCTTCATGCATCTTCTTTTGAGTCGACTCAAAAGCATCCTCCTTCCTTCATGCATCTTCTTTTGAGTCGACTCAAAAGCATCCTCCTTCCTTCATGCATCTTCTTTTGAGTCGACTCAAAAGCATCCTCCTTCCTTCATGCATCTTCTTTTGAGTCGACTCAAAAGCATCCTCCTTCCTTCATGCATCTTCTTTTGAGTCGACTCAAAAGCATCCTCCTTCCTTCATGCATCTTCTTTTGAGTCGACTCAAAAGCATCCTCCTTCCTTCATGCATCTTCTTTTGAGTCGACTCAAAAGCATCCTCCTTCCTTCATGCATCTTCTTTTGAGTCGACTCAAAAGCATCCTCCTTCCTTCATGCATCTTCTTTTGAGTCGACTCAAAAGCATCCTCCTTCCTTCATGCATCTTCTTTTGAGTCGACTCAAAAGCATCCTCCTTCCTTCATGCATCTTCTTTTGAGTCGACTCAAAAGCATCCTCCTTCCTTCATGCATCTTCTTTTGAGTCGACTCAAAAGCATCCTCCTTCCTTCATGCATCTTCTTTTGAGTCGACTCAAAAGCATCCTCCTTCCTTCATGCATCTTCTTTTGAGTCGACTCAAAAGCATCCTCCTTCCTTCATGCATCTTCTTTTGAGTCGACTCAAAAGCATCCTCCTTCCTTCATGCATCTTCTTTTGAGTCGACTCAAAAGCATCCTCCTTCCTTCATGCATCTTCTTTTGAGTCGACTCACAAGCATCCTCCTTCCTTCATGCATCTTCTTTTGAGTCGACTCAAAAGCATCCTCCTTCCTTCATGCATCTTCTTTTGAGTCGACTCAAAAGCATCCTCCTTCCTTCATGCATCTTCTTTTGAGTCGACTCAAAAGCATCCTCCTTCCTTCATGCATCTTCTTTTGAGTCGACTCAAAAGCATCCTCCTTCCTTCATGCATCTTCTTTTGAGTCGACTCAAAAGCATCCTCCTTCCTTCATGCATCTTCTTTTGAGTCGACTCAAAAGCATCCTCCTTCCTTCATGCATCTTCTTTTGAGTCGACTCAAAAGCATCCTCCTTCCTTCATGCATCTTCTTTTGAGTCGACTCAAAAGCATCCTCCTTCCTTCATGCATCTTCTTTTGAGTCGACTCAAAAGCATCCTCCTTCCTTCATGCATCTTCTTTTGAGTCGACTCAAAAGCATCCTCCTTCCTTCATGCATCTTCTTTTGAGTCGACTCAAAAGCATCCTCCTTCCTTCATGCATCTTCTTTTGAGTCGACTCAAAAGCATCCTCCTTCCTTCATGCATCTTCTTTTGAGTCGACTCAAAAGCATCCTCCTTCCTTCATGCATCTTCTTTTGAGTCGACTCAAAAGCATCCTCCTTCCTTCATGCATCTTCTTTTGAGTCGACTCAAAAGCATCCTCCTTCCTTCATGCATCTTCTTTTGAGTCGACTCAAAAGCATCCTCCTTCCTTCATGCATCTTCTTTCACCCTTGTCCTTCATGAGTTTTCGACTACTTGCCTTGCAGTCCCATGGGGGGCAGAAGGGGGAGCGGCAGCAAGCGGGAGACAGGGCCAGCAAAGAAGCGTTGCTTTCTGCTCTATCCCACTCTAACCTTATCACACTTTAAGTGTCTTGCCATCCCCTCTCTCTCTTTAACCTGTTTTTGAGTCGACTAAAAAATACGAAGTACTGTTGCCTTTTGCTCTATCCCACTATATATCTTATCACACTTTAACGTCTTGTCACCCCCTCTCTCTCTTTAACCCCATCCCTCCCTGTTTCTTCAGGAGGTTCGGCTGCTTGGTTTGCAATCACCCGGGGGAGGGCCGATGGCCGAGGCAGGAGCAGCAAAGAAACCTCTCCCCCTGCTCTATCCCACTCCAACTGTCTTACCGTTTCCCCACTTTCTCTTAATCTACTCCCTGTTTCTTCAGGAGGTTCGGCTACTTGCCTTGCAATCGCCTGGGGGAGGGCCAAGAGGGGAAGCAAGTGGAGCAGCAACGAGTATGGGGCTTGGTGGTGCAGTGAAGGTCGCAGCACAGGCACAGGGGCATGAGGGTGGGGGGTACTCTCCTCTTGCTCTCTGCCGCTCTGGTCTTTTCACGCTTCAGTCTCAGCCTGTCCCCTCTTCCTCCCAACCCCGTCTCTCCTTGCTCCCCAGGAGGTTCGGTTACTTGCCTTGCAATCACCTGGGGGAGGGTCGAGAGGTGAAGCAGGAGCAGCAACGAACATGGGGCTTGGTGGTGCAGTGAAGGTCGCAGCACAGGCACCGGGGCACGGGGGTGGGGGTGCTGGTGGGGGCGTAGGGATGCGTGGGGGAGGGGAGGGGGATGGGGAGGAGAATGAGGAGGAGGAGGGTGGAGAGGGTGTTGGGATGGCTATAGATGTTGAGAAAAGGGATGGAGGGGGAGGGAAGGGGGGAGAGGGAGGGGAAGAGGAGGAAGAAGAGGTGGAGGAAGAGGAAGAGGAGGAGGAGCAGGAGGAGGAGGAGGGAGGACAGGAAGGGGAGGAGGAGGAGGTAGGGGGAGAGGAGGACGAGGAGGAGGAGGGAGGGGAGGGTGAGGAACAGGAAGGGGAAGAGGAGGAGGATGAGGAGGAGGAGGAAGAAGAAGAGGAAGAGGAAGTGGTGGGTGTTGAGGGCTCGACTCCTATGATTGATGATACTGAAGTTGAAGAGGAAGCAGAGGAGGTGGAGGAGGGGGATGAGGAGGGAGGTGAGGAGGGAGATGAGGGTGAAGAGAACGAAGGGGAAGAGGAGGGGAATGAGGGTGAGGGAGGGGAAGGGGGGTTAGAAGGAGAGGAAAGAGGGGATGGAGAGGAGAATGAGGAAGGAGGGATTGGAGAAGAGGAAGAGGAGGAAGAGGAGGGAGAGGAGGGAGAAGAGGAGGGAGAAGAGGAGGAAGAGGAGGGGAATGCGCAAGAGGGTGGGGAGGGAGACGAGGAGGGAAGGGATGAAGGAGATGAGGGGGAGGAAGAGGAGGAAGGGGGGATGGAGGAGGAAGAGGAGGAGATAGAGGAGCAAATAGGTGATGATGGGATGGGGGAGGCTCAAGAGGTGGAGAATGATGAGTATGAGGGAGAGGAGGGTGGGGATGAAGAGGGTGAGGGAGGAGAGGGGGAGGAGGTGGGAGACGGGGAGGAGGAAGAGGGAGAGGGAGAGGGGAGTGAGGAGGAAGAGGGAGAGGGGGGTGAGGAGGAAGAGGGGGAGGGGGAGGGCGAGGGAGAGGACGGAGATGAGGAGGGAGATGAGGAGGGGGAGGGAGAGGAGGAAGGTTAGGGTATGTGCAATGGGGGGCAGCAAAAAATCAATGAGGATGGTGCTGATGGTGCTGATGGTGCTGATGGTGCTGATGGTGGATGGTGATGAAGAGAAGGTAACAGGGTAACGTGTGATTGACCGGAGGAGCAGTAGGAGGAGGCATGCACAAGGCAGCACCAAATTGCATGTTAAAATCCGTAGTGCTCCACGCTTGCGACACTGTACACGTGCAGTAGATTCCAAAAGTTTCCAGCGCGTGTCGTGTTCATAGTGTTTTCATAGTGGTTTCGCCCATAGTGTGCATACTTAGTGTTTTAGTTGACATCCCTCGACGAAAATCCGAGGAATGTTGACAAACGTCAATCGTTGGATGCCTCAAAATCCAACAATTGAGGGCTCAGATTCATCTACACCCCTTGACATTCCTCAACTGGGTTGGGGCCCAATAATGAATTAGTCCGGTTCACCTGTAAAGTTTCAATAGGAAAGTTCCCTACAGTTGGTGAAACATTGGACCCCTGAAATTGCCTTTCACAGTTCGTATTTGTGCACAAAACTTTTGATAACTTTTGACTGACTGAACAAAATAATGGCCAGACTTGTACATTTCTTTGCTCTATACTGTACATGATGGCAATCAGGAGCATACCATCTCCTTTACTATAAAGTAAAAAGTACTGTAACACAATTCTTAGTTCCAATACCCCATGTTTCGAGCGCCACCACCACCACCACCTTGGCCCATCTCAGCCGTCCGTTGCGGGGCCTGCAATCTGGACCGTCGCTGCACAGCCCGCTCCTGAAGCTCCATCTTAGACGCAATCAACGACTCTCGATCCCTCGGTGGCCCAAACGCCTGATCTGCACCGTTCATACCTCCACCCTCTCTCCCCATGCCCATCCCATCTCCATACCCCCCTCCACCGCCCCCGCCTCTCTCTCTACCTTCTAACCCTGCTGCCGAAGCTGCGGCTTTGGTTCGGCGCCGCTCGGCCCGTTCCTCTTCCCGAACCATCTCGGCTCGGCCTGCCATGGCTGCAGCTCCGGCAGAGGTGGCTGCCAGTGCTCTCTGTGATGCTGCTGCTGCTGCAGCCGCTGCTGCTGCGGCTGCTGCTGCTGCTGAAACCGCTTGCCCTGCAGCCATCCTAGGAGGGGACCCTCCTTGATACCCCCCTCTCCTCCCATCCCCTTCTTCCCCTCCTCCCATGCCGCCTCCCATCCCCCCCATCCCTCCTCCCATCCCTCCCATCCCTCCTCCCATCCCTCCTCCCATCCCTCCTCCCATACCTCCTCCCATACCTCTCCTGTCAAGATCCCTGCCCTTAGCTGAAGAAGTGGTTCGGGAGGTATGACTTTCGCTCCATTTACCCCCACCCCCACTCGCCCCAGCTCTAGGATATGGGCTCTGCCCATACCTACTCACAAACCCCCCATCTCTCAGATTCACCCCCCCCAGTCCCGCCCCCACACTCCCTTTCAGCATAGACGAAGTAACAGACCCCCCACCTTCCCTCGAGCTCCCCCCGATCATGCTCTGCCCGATCCCCGAGCCTTCGCGGCCCATTCCCGGACCTCCGCCGAACCTGCCGCGGCTCCGGGCGTTCGTGCTCTCGCTCTCACTGTAGCTCTCCTCGCCGAACCTGCTCTCGCTGGTAACCGCACCGGCCAGGAACTCCGGGCGGCGCTGAGGGGCGACCCGGGCTGCTACAGTGCCCCGCACCCCTCCTCCTCCTCGTCCTCCTCCTCCTGCCCCTGCTCCTGCTCCTCCTCCCATCTCTCCTCTTCCCCTGTCCCCTACCCCTCCCATTCCTTGAAATTCACTCCGCAATTGCCCTCCCGTTGTTCCTCCTCCTAGCCCCAATGCTGCTAGAGAGACAGCATTGGCCATCCCGCCTGCCCCCAGTGCTCCAGTTCTCGCTCCCATTCCTGCTGCTCCCAAGCCTGCTGCTCCCAAGCCTGCTGCTCCCAAACCTGCTGCTCCCAAGCCTGCTGCTCCCAAGCCTGTTGCTCCCAAACCTGCGGTTCCCATACCTGCCAATCCCATCCCTCCTCGATTCATCAAACCTCCTCCCAGCCCCCCTACACCAGCACCCATACCAGCACCACCACCACTTAACCCCATACCTCCCAAACCTCCAGCACTTAACCCCAAATTCCCCACACCACCACCACTTAACCCCATCGCTCCCACGCCACCAGCACTTAACCCCGTGCCACCAGCCATACCTCCCCCTAAGTTCCTCCCCAACCCTCCTGCTGCCAGCAATTGCTGCTGCTGTTGCTGCAGCTGCTGCCGCTGCTGCTGCAACTGCTGTTGCTGCTGCAGCTGCTGCTGCTGCTGCTGCTGCCTTGCTTGTATCTGAGCGTGTGTATGGGCCAATAGCATCTGCTGCTGCTGAATAAGGTACTGCAGCTGCTGTGCCTGAGAGGCCCCTGCAGGAGGCGGAGGGACCAGATTCCCACCTGAAATCCCACCTGAAATCCCACCTGGTGCTCCTCCTGCCATCCCACCTGCTGCCTGACTGGAAAATCCACCTCCTCCTAACCCACCTCCTCCTAATCCACCTGCCCCGATCCCACCTGCCCCGATCCCACCTGCCCCGATCCCACCTGCCCCGATCCCACCTGCCCCGATCCCACCTGCCCCGATTCCACCTGCCCCAAGACCATTCGCCCCTCCACCACCAATACCACCAAAGCCACCACCGTTAACATCCAAACCACCAGCACCAGCAGCACCACCACGACCACCAGTGCCAGCAGCAGCAGCAGCAGCAGCACCACCACCAGCAGCAGCATTACCACCTGATCCCACGTTTTGCCTCAGAAACGCACCACCATTCCCCGCTACAGTGGCACTCGCGATAGGCCTCCTCCTACCCGCAGCCACAGCAGCAGCAGCAGCTGCTGCAGCAGTGGGGGGGAGTGTTGCGCCTGGTCGTGTCCCTTGTCTTGCTCCAGGGTGCAAGCTGCTGCTGCTCGTGCTGCCCACTCCAAACCCTGCTGCTCCTCCCATTCCTCCTCCCGTCCCTCCTCCCATCCCTCCTCCCAACTCTGCTCCCATCCCTGCTCCCATCCCTGCTCCCAAACCTCCTCCCAATCCTCCTGCCAACCCGGCTCCTGCTCCTGCTCCTCCCAAACCTCCATAGCTACTCAACAACTGTTGCTGCTGCTGCTGTTGCTGCTGGTGCTGCTGCTGCAGCTGCTGCTGTAGCTGCTGCAACTGCTGGAAAGATGAACCCCCAAGTCCACCCAACCCACCTCTTCCTCCCACTCCTCCCAAACCACCTGCCAAACTTCCTCCCATACCTCCCCCCAAGCCTCCTGCCAAACCTCCGCCCAGGCCTCCTGCCCCTCCCAACCCCCCTCCCACTCCCCCAACACCCGCCCCACCACCCAACGCTGCATTATAAGCACCTCCGTTATAAGCCAAATTCCCTCCCAAAAGCCTCCCTCCTTGAGCCAAATTCCTTTGGGGATTAGAAAAAGACGACAGGGAACTACCCCCTATAGACCCCGGCCCTCCCATTCCCGCACCCGTACCCCTATACAGGTTCGGGTTATTGCCCAGATTATACCCTGTGCCAGCTGCCCCTGCAGGGTTACCAGCCCCTGTTAAACCACTTAACCCAGTTCCACCTACCCCAGTATTACCTGCAGCGCGGGCAGTAAGATAGCGCAGTGCTGCTATATTAGCAGCAGTTGCTCCTGACAATCCCCCAGCTGCTCCCCCTCCTGCTAACCCTGCTCCACCTGCTAGCCCTCCTGCTCCGAATCCTGCCCCTCCCACCCCTCCCGTCCCTCTTAACCCTCCCATTCCTCCTCCCATTCCTCCTCCCATCCCCCCTCCCAGGGGCGCGGTCCCCCCTCGCAACGTCACCACTCTCTGCGCATGAAAATCAGTCGTTCCCGTACCTGTCTCCGAACCGAGATCCGAGCCAGTCCCAGTCTCCGTCCCACTCTCCGAACCTGTCCCAGTGCTGCTCGTGCCTGTTGCCGTGCCCATGCCTCCCCTCCCTCCCCTCCCTGTCCCTCCAGTTGTTTTCGAATAAATCGAAAGCTCATCTCCAGAAGACCTCCCAGAAACATACGAAGACTCTGCAACGGACCTATTCCTGGGAAAACCTCCTCCTCCCCCACCCCCACCCCCACCACCACCATTACCAGCACGAGCAGCAGCAGTCGCTGCTGCCGCTACTGCCGCTGCCGCGGCCGCAGCAGCCGTGGTGGGAGGCAGACCCGCATTCAAAAAGTACCTGTTATACGCCTCCCTCATAGCCGATTCCCTTGCTGCTGCTTCCTCCCTAGACATGCCCCTCCCCCTGCCACCCCTCGTCGTCCCAGTCACACCAGTCACTCCCGTTATTCCTGTAACACCAGTAACACCAGTAACACCTGTGGCGCGACTATACCCACCCACGCTACTAGCCGCGCCCCCATACACGCTCTCCGCACCCCCATACACACTCCCTGTCCCCCCATACACGCTCCTATCCTCCCTCCCATCGTAAAACATCGACGTTCGGAAGCTTCTAGTGGTTCCCGGGGTTCTAGCCATACTCGCTCCCCCGGGGGTTCTAGCCATGCTCGCCCCTCCAGGAGTCCTGGCACCGCGCCGAACCGCTGCCGATCTAGGCGAGTAAACAGTCGACTCGTAATCATTATACTCATCATCGTACTCATCATCGAATTCCCCCTCTTCTCCTTGATAATCCTCCTCATCCCCTGTGTAAGTCATGCTGCCGCTCGCCGACCCTGAGCCACTGTAGCTGCTCGGCCGGGCGGGCACTACGAGACGCTGGACGCCGCCCGAGAGCTTGGACGGGGCGGGAAACCCAGGGGCGCCGGCGGCCTGTGGGGGGATCCCTGCTAGCAGCGCTGCTACCCCGCTCCCCATGGATATTAACCCTCCCGATGCCCCTGAATTGGGGTTAGATTGCCCAATTCCCCCTCTCCCAACTCCTCCACTCATACCACTCCCGGCTCCTTGCAGCAATCGTGACCCGGGGAGTTCTATAAACTCAGAAATCGCCTCTTTCAGCTTCGGAAACTGCACCGGTTTCCCCAGGAACCCGTCCATCCCCACCGCATAGCACCGCTCTTCATCCTCCTTAAGAACGTTTGCGGTAACGGCTATGATGGGGAGGCGAGGCAGGGCCCCTCGGGGGGAGGAGAGGGGGAGGTTGGAGGGGGGCTGCCAGGCGATTCCGGACTTCTCATCCCCTGCCGGCGCTCCTCTGTGCTTCGCTCGCTCCACCTCCTCCTCTGGATACACCCCCGTGCGCTCATACTGCCGAATCAGGTAGGCGGCCTGCGGTTGGGGTAGAGATGAACGGGACGGATTGAAAGACAGACGGAGAGGCAGATAGCATTTGGCACAGGTGGCACGGCGTGAATGAAACAGGCAAGCAGAAGGTGGGAGGCGGACGAGAGGGGGAGGTTGGAAGGGGGTTGCCAGGCGATTCCGGACTTCTCATCCCCTGCCGGCGCTCCCCTGTGCTTTGCTCGCTCCACCTCCTCCTCTGGAAACACCCCCGTGCGCTCATACTGCCGGATTGAATAGGCTGCCTGTGGTGGGTTTCGGTTGGGGATAAATGGGTTGAAAAACAGGAAGAAACAGCAGGCAGCATTTGGCGCGGCATGAGTACGACGGGGCAAGCAGAAGGTGAGGGGTGGGAGGGGGAGGTTGGAGGGGGGTTGCCAGGTCAGGCTGGACTTCTCATCCCCTGCCGGCGCTCCTCTGTACTTCGCTCGCTCCACCTCCTCCTCTGGAAACACGCCCGTGCGCTCATACTGCCGGATTAGGTAGGTGGCCTGTGGTAGGGGTTGGTGTATGGGTTTAACAAACTTAGAAAGAGTCAAGAAGAGTGAACAAGGGAGTCAACGAGCGAGTCAACCGAAGTCTACCAAAGTCAACGGGAGTCAACGCACTTGCAGGAAGTCAACGGGAGTCAACGCCTACCTGCAGGCCATCCATGAGCGGCATGCAGAGGTCCGACAGCAGCAGGTCAAACGGCTCCTTCACTCACCACCTCTGATACGTGTCAACCTGAGTCAACCTTGGCCCTGTTCGACTGGCGCATCAGTGGTGAGGCTCGGGTACCAGCTCAGGCTCGGATGTGGTGCTCAAACGAGAGGTAGTGGTTTGGGGTTTGTCAAAACAGTCCAATTGGTCTGTCAAGTTTGTCAAACTCGCGGAAGGGTTTTGAGACGTCTCAAAACCCTTGTTCAATCTCGCGGAAGGTATATGTGCTATGTTCAATCTCGTTTCCTGCTGTTTTGCCTCACACATGTCAGGGCTGCCCCCACGCTTGCAGGGAAGGGACCAAACATTTTTTAGGAGGGGGTGTTCGTTTGTGCGGGGAAAAGCTCGCTGGATGATTCTTGGCGGGCACCTTATGCTGCCCCGCATCAGCTGGTGCACGCATGGTGCTAGCTCTCCACGGATGCACCATCCGCGCATCAGCTGGTGCACGCATGGTGCTAGCTCTCCACGGATGCACCATCCGCGCATCAGCTGGTGCACGCATGGTGCTAGCTCTCCACGGATGCACCATCCGCGCATCAGCTGGTGCACGCATGGTGCTAGCTCTCCACGGATGCACCATCCGCGCATCAGCTGGTGCACGCATGGTGCTAGCTCTCCACGGATGCACCATCCGCGCATCAGCTGGTGCACGCATGGTGCTAGCTCTCCACGGATGCACCATCCGCGCATCAGCTGGTGCACGCATGGTGCTAGCTCTCCACGGATGCACCATCCGCGCATCAGCTGGTGCACGCATGGTGCTAGCTCTCCACGGATGCACCATCCGCGCATCAGCTGGTGCACGCATGGTGCTAGCTCTCCACGGATGCACCATCCGCGCATCAGCTGGTGCACGCATGGTGCTAGCTCTCCACGGATGCACCATCCGCGCATCAGCTGGTGCACGCATGGTGCTAGCTCTCCACGGATGCACCATCCGCGCATCAGCTGGTGCACGCATGGTGCTAGCTCTCCACGGATGCACCATCCGCGCATCAGCTGGTGCACGCATGGTGCTAGCTCTCCACGGATGCACCATCCGCGCATCAGCTGGTGCACGCATGGTGCTAGCTCTCCACGGATGCACCATCCGCGCATCAGCTGGTGCACGCATGGTGCTAGCTCTCCACGGATGCACCATCCGCGCATCAGCTGGTGCACGCATGGTGCTAGCTCTCCACGGATGCACCATCCGCGCATCAGCTGGTGCACGCATGGTGCTAGCTCTCCACGGATGCACCATCCGCGCATCAGCTGGTGCACGCATGGTGCTAGCTCTCCACGGATGCACCATCCGCGCATCAGCTGGTGCACGCATGGTGCTAGCTCTCCACGGATGCACCATCCGCGCATCAGCTGGTGCACGCATGGTGCTAGCTCTCCACGGATGCACCATCCGCGCATCAGCTGGTGCACGCATGGTGCTAGCTCTCCACGGATGCACCATCCGCGCATCAGCTGGAGCACGCATGGTGCTAGCTCTCCACGGATGCACCATCCGCGCATCAGCTGGTGCACGCATGGTGCTAGCTCTCCACGGATGCACCATCCGCGCATCAGCTGGTGCACGCATGGTGCTAGCTCTCCACGGATGCACCATCCGCGCATCAGCTGGTGCACGCATGGTGCTAGCTCTCCACGGATGCACCATCCGCGCATCAGCTGGTGCACGCATGGTGCTAGCTCTCCACGGATGCACCATCCGCGCATCAGCTGGTGCACGCATGGTGCTAGCTCTCCACGGATGCACCATCCGCGCATCAGCTGGTGCACGCATGGTGCTAGCTCTCCACGGATGCACCATCCGCGCATCAGCTGGTGCACGCATGGTGCTAGCTCTCCACGGATGCACCATCCGCGCATCAGCTGGTGCACGCATGGTGCTAGCTCTCCACGGATGCACCATCCGCGCATCAGCTGGTGCACGCATGGTGCTAGCTCTCCACGGATGCACCATCCGCGCATCAGCTGGTGCACGCATGGTGCTAGCTCTCCACGGATGCACCATCCGCGCATCAGCTGGTGCACGCATGGTGCTAGCTCTCCACGGATGCACCATCCGCGCATCAGCTGGTGCACGCATGGTGCTAGCTCTCCACGGATGCACCATCCGCGCATCAGCTGGTGCACGCATGGTGCTAGCTCTCCACGGATGCACCATCCGCGCATCAGCTGGTGCACGCATGGTGCTAGCTCTCCACGGATGCACCATCCGCGCATCAGCTGGTGCACGCATGGTGCTAGCTCTCCACGGATGCACCATCCGCGCATCAGCTGGTGCACGCATGGTGCTAGCTCTCCACGGATGCACCATCCGCGCATCAGCTGGTGCACGCATGGTGCTAGCTCTCCACGGATGCACCATCCGCGCATCAGCTGATGCACGCATGGTGCTAGCTCTCCACGGATGCACCATCCGCGCATCAGCTGGTGCACGCATGGTGCTAGCTCTCCACGGATGCACCATCCGCGCATCAGCTGGTGCACGCATGGTGCTAGCTCTCCACGGATGCACCATCCGCGCATCAGCTGGTGCACGCATGGTGCTAGCTCTCCACGGATGCACCATCCGCGCATCAGCTGGTGCACGCATGGTGCTAGCTCTCCACGGATGCACCATCCGCGCATCAGCTGGTGCACGCATGGTGCTAGCTCTCCACGGATGCACCATCCGCGCATCAGCTGGTGCACGCATGGTGCTAGCTCTCCACGGATGCACCATCCGCGCATCAGCTGGTGCACGCATGGTGCTAGCTCTCCACGGATGCACCATCCGCGCATCAGCTGATGCACGCATGGTGCTAGCTCTCCACGGATGCACCATCCGCGCATCAGCTGGTGCACGCATGGTGCTAGCTCTCCACGGATGCACCATCCGCGCATCAGCTGGTGCACGCATGGTGCTAGCTCTCCACGGATGCACCATCCGCGCATCAGCTGGTGCACGCATGGTGCTAGCTCTCCACGGATGCACCATCCGCGCATCAGCTGGTGCACGCATGGTGCTAGCTCTCCACGGATGCACCATCCGCGCATCAGCTGGTGCACGCATGGTGCTAGCTCTCCACGGATGCACCATCCGCGCATCAGCTGGTGCACGCATGGTGCTAGCTCTCCACGGATGCACCATCCGCGCATCAGCTGGTGCACGCATGGTGCTAGCTCTCCACGGATGCACCATCCGCGCATCAGCTGGTGCACGCATGGTGCTAGCTCTCCACGGATGCACCATCCGCGCATCAGCTGGTGCACGCATGGTGCTAGCTCTCCACGGATGCACCATCCGCGCATCAGCTGGTGCACGCATGGTGCTAGCTCTCCACGGATGCACCATCCGCGCATCAGCTGGTGCACGCATGGTGCTAGCTCTCCACGGATGCACCATCCGCGCATCAGCTGGTGCACGCATGGTGCTAGCTCTCCACGGATGCACCATCCGCGCATCAGCTGGTGCACGCATGGTGCTAGCTCTCCACGGATGCACCATCCGCGCATCAGCTGGTGCACGCATGGTGCTAGCTCTCCACGGATGCACCATCCGCGCATCAGCTGGTGCACGCATGGTGCTAGCTCTCCACGGATGCACCATCCGCGCATCAGCTGGTGCACGCATGGTGCTAGCTCTCCACGGATGCACCATCCGCGCATCAGCTGGTGCACGCATGGTGCTAGCTCTCCACGGATGCACCATCCGCGCATCAGCTGGTGCACGCATGGTGCTAGCTCTCCACGGATGCACCATCCGCGCATCAGCTGGTGCACGCATGGTGCTAGCTCTCCACGGATGCACCATCCGCGCATCAGCTGATGCACGCATGGTGCTAGCTCTCCACGGATGCACCATCCGCGCATCAGCTGGTGCACGCATGGTGCTAGCTCTCCACGGATGCACCATCCGCGCATCAGCTGGTGCACGCATGGTGCTAGCTCTCCACGGATGCACCATCCGCGCATCAGCTGGTGCACGCATGGTGCTAGCTCTCCACGGATGCACCATCCGCGCATCAGTGGTGCGTCGGTTTGCCAGGAGAGGAGAGTTCCGGGAACGCCATTCAGATCCCAAACCTGGGGCCAAAAAGGGTGTTCGGCTGGCATCATGCACCAGTTCGCTTCGGTGCTCATGCGCCTATCCCAGACCCGAGTCAGCTGATCCCAGACCCGAGTCAGCTGATCCCAGACCCGAGTCAGCTGATCCCAGACCCGAGTCAGCTGATCCCAGACCCGAGTCAGCTGATCCCAGACCCGAGTCAGCTGATCCCAGACCCGAGTCAGCTGATCCCAGACCCGAGTCAACACTTGTCCGCTTATCTCAGAAGCTTCGAGGGAGCACACTTTACTGTTGCCGGTACCCGAGCCTGTGCCTGATGCCCCAGTCGAACAGGGCCCTTGTTTGAACAACTTAGGAGAGTCAACGAGAGCCAACGGGAGTCAACGAGAGTCAACGGGAGTCAACGAGAGCCAACGGGAGTCAACGGGAGTCAACGGGAGTCAACGGGAGTCAACGGGAGGCGACGGGAGTCAACGCCTACCTGTAGCCCGTCCATGAGCGGCATGCAGAGGTCCGACAGCAGCAGGTCAAACCGCTCCTTCTTCACTGCCTATGTCTTCAACAACCCTCGATATGCGTCCACAAGGAGTCAGCAAAAGTCAACCCAAGTCAACCGAAGTCAACGCGTACCTGCAACCCATCCATGAGGGGCATGCAGAGGTCCGACAGCAGCAGGTCAAACCGCTCCCTCCGCACCGCTTCCAACGCCTCCACACCGTTCTTGGCCACTGTGGCGCGCAGCCCCAGGCGCTTGAGCATGGAGAGCAGCACCATCACGTTGACCTGGGGTTCAAGGGAAGCGGGTGTGGGGCAGGCAGCGAAAGGAGCTGAGTCAAGCCTGAGAGCAGCGGATCAAACAGCACGGCTTCATCCATCCACCCCTCGTTCTTGGCCAGTGTGTGTGGCTCGCACTGTGGCTCGCACTGTGGCTCGCAGGCCCAGGCGCTTGAGCATGGACAGCAGCACGTCCATGCTCACGTTCACCCTGTCCTGAAGGGGGAGCGGGGAGGGCATGACATGGCATGGGAGGGATAGGAGCTGAGTGAGACTGGGGGCATTTCCGCCAGCCACACGAGCAGGCCAAACACTTCCTCTCATCCTAACTGCCTCCTCCGCATCCCGCCCCACAGCAACACTCACAGGATTGCCTTCAGCAACAACGACCTTCGTCTCTGGGCCTTTGGTTGATACAGGGGACAGGGAAGGCACGGGCTTACCCCACCCCACCCCACCCCACCCCACCCCACCCCACCCCGACCCAACCCACCCCACTCCACCCCACCCCACCCCACCCCACCCCAACCCAACCCACCCCACCCCACCCCACCCCACCCCACCCCACCCCACAACTCAAACATAACCTCAGGACTCACGGGGTTGACTTCAGCCACCAGGATCTTGGTCTCTGGGCCTTTGGCCGAGGCGGGGGACAGAGAAGGCAGCGACCCAGTTGTTTCCTCCCAGTAACCCTATAGACACCCCACAGGCTCAGCTCACTCCACCCAACCCCACCCCTTCCCACCCCACCGCACCGCACCCCACACTCACGGGGTTGTCTTCAGCCACAAGAATCTTTGTCTCTGGGCCTTTGGCCGAAGCAGGGGACAGAGACGGCACCGACCCGGCTCCTCCTATGGCGCCTGCACCAGATGCGCCTCCCCCAGATAACCCCTCCCCTGTACCCCCCACCTCCCCTTTCATCGCCTTGGCTCGGGCCAGCAGCCCCGCCAGCCCCCCTCCCACCACCCCTGCTCCCGCTCCCGCTGCTCCTGCTCCTGCTCCTGCTCCTGCTGCTGCTCCTGCTGCTGCTGCTGCTCCCCGTGGTTGCCGCAGGTGCTTCGGCGTGATCGCAATCGGCGAGTCATTCGTATATTCACTCTCATAATCCCCCTCCTCGTCCTCCTCCTCCTCCTCCTCCTCCTCTTCCGTATACTCATCCTCGCCCCCCCCCATTCCTCCCCCCACCTGCCCCATATGCTCCCTCACAGGCGACAGCGCCCTGGCCACAGACCCAGGCGAAGGCCCCGACACAGACACACTCTTGGGAAACCCGAACGGCGCGTTCACAGCCGCAGCAATCGCGCTCGCGCCCGTGGGCGAGGCCGGGCGGGAGCGGGGGGAGGTCCGCTGGCAGCACACCGAGAACGCAAACACCGACCCGGTTCCCACCTTGGACTTGATTGCCATCTTCCCGTGCATGAGCTCTACCAGCTGCTTGCAGATAGCTAGTCCCAGCCCCGTGCCGCCGTAGGCTCGCGTCGGCCCGCCTTCCACTTGGGTGAACTTCTCAAAGAGGAGAGGGAAGGCGTCTTTGGGGATCCCTACGCCTGTGTCGTGCACCTCGCACCACAACCACACGTCCATATCCCCGCCTATCTGCCTCTCCACTGCTGCCGCTTTCCCCTTCCCCTTCTCTGCTCCTCCTGCTGGTACAATCGAGCCCCAGAACCCTCCTCCTGCTCCTCCCCCTCCAGGTCTCAGCATCCCCCCCTCCTCCTCCCCTCTCGTCCTCTCGCTATCCCCATCCTCTTCCTCCTCTTCCTCCTCATACTCCTCAGTCGGAAGCTCGGCCAATAGCGGCGCAGCCTGCTCCAAACTCCCCAAACTTGCCAGCTTCTTCAAATGCTCCTCCGTAACATCGGACAGCAGCGGTAACCGCCCGCTTCCCCCTGCCCTCGCGCCCTTATTATGACTGTGCATTTCCACAGCCAGCCCTTTCCCCCGGCCTAAGGTAGCAGCAGCACCAGAACCCCCTGCTGCTCCTCCTCCTGCTCCCCCTCCCCCCCCTCCGGGAACATTCCATCCCCCCACAGCATACGCGCCAGTAGCCTTCACAATAGCAGCAGAGGGATCCCTATCATGTGCCGACACCCGCAGCAAGATATGCCCCGTGTGCGTGAACTTAATCGCGTTCAGAACCAGGTATTTAATCACCTGCCGCACGCGCAACTCGTCTCCTAAAATCTGCGCCGGAATGTCCGGAGAAATATCCGCTAGGACTTTAATCCCCTTCTCCTTAGTAGCAGCCATGGCCATTTTTAAGATATGATTCACCACCGCGACCGGCTCAAAGGGGTGCTCCTCCAGCTTCATCTCCCCGGCTTCCATACTCGCGAGATCTAAAATATCCGCGAGAATATCTGATATGATCACGCCCGATGACATCATCGTCTCGACGATCTCGCGCTGCTCCTCATCCAACGCTCCAGATTCGAGCAGAACTTCGGCCAATCCGAGGATCCCGTTGAGGGGCGTGCGGATCTCGTGGGACATGATGGCAAGGAACATGGACTTGGCGCGCATGGCGTCCTCTGTGAGCTCGTATGCGCGCCGCAGCTCCTTCTCCGTTGTGTTGCGCACCATCATCTCCGCTCGTAGAGCCATCAGCCGCTCCTTGTACTGCGCCTGGTGGGGGGGAGGTGGGGAAGGGGGTGGGGAAGGAGGGAAGGGGTAAAGCAGCAGCAACAGCAGCAGCAGCAGCAGCAGCAACAAGAGGGAGTGGGGAATGAAGGGGAAGAGGGGGTGAGGAGCAGAGGGGAGAGAGCAGCTCCTTCTCCGTTGTGCTGCGCACCATCATCTCCGCCCTCAGAGCCATCAGCCGCTCCTTGTACTGCGCCTGGTGGGGGGGGGGGGGGGGAGGTGGGGGGAGGGGGACGGGAGGAAAGGGGGAGTCGAGAGTGGGGAGGGTGGGCGGGGGGAAGGGGACAGGGAGGAAAGGGGAGGGTGGTAATGCCTCCTCTGTTATATCCACGCTCGATGTAGTCACCGCCACAGTCCGCCCCTTTTCGTCCCTGATTGGACGAGCAGTCATCACCCACAGCATGAATGCATCACTCTCCTACAAGCACATACATACATCCCTTCTTTTTGCAGGCAGTTTAAGAGAACTCTAAATAACGACCTATAAGTATCCCCCACCTTTCAACCTCCCTTCCCTCCCTCCCTTCCCCCTCTCCCTGGCCCCTGCCCTTCGTAATACCTCCTCTGTTATGTCCACACTCGATGTAGTCACTCCCACAGTCCGCCCCTTCTCGTCTCTGATTGGCCGGGCAGTTGTCACCCACACCATGGGGGGCCTTCCAGGAAGCTGCCACACCACCTCGCCCCGCTGCGCCTTGCCTGTGGCCAGCGCCCGCTGCTTGATCTCCATCGCCTCCTCCACTCCTAGAGTGCCACGTGGCAGAATGTCATAGTCCCTTTTCCCAATCATATCCTGGTTCAATGGGGAGCGGGGACCGGAGAAACAAGAGAGGGAGTGGGGGTGAGGGAAGGGGAGGTGGTGGGAAAGAGGAAAGGGAGCTTAAGCAGAGAAGGGGTGAATGAGGGGTTTGGAGGGGTAGGAAGTGGTGGCAGTGGGAAGCTGCCACACCACCTCGCCCCGCTGCGCCTTGCCTGTGGCCAGCGCCCGCTGCTTGATCTCCATCGCCTCCTCCACTCCCAGAGTGCCACGTGGCAGGATATCATAGTCCCTCTTGCCGATCATATCCTGAACGGTGATGGGGATGGGGGAATGGGAGATGGGGGGGAAGGGGAGTTGGGAGCGGGGTTGGGAAGAAAGGGAGTTGGGAGGAAAAAGAGAAGTGGGAAGGGAAGGAGTGTAAGAGAAGTGGGGTGGCTAGCGCCCTCTGCTTCATCTCCATCGCCTCCTCCACTCCCAGAGTGCCACGTGGCAGGATGTCAAAATCCCTCTTTCCAATCATGTCCTGATTGGACGGTTGGGATGGCGAGGGGGAGGAGGAGAGAAGCCAGGACGTGGGAAAAGGGAGTTGGTGGGGGAAGAGGAGTATAGGGTCGCAAAAAAACATGGAAAGATGAAGAACCTTGGAGCAATATAAGGAGGTGCTAAGGCCGGCTTATGAGTTGACCCGGAAACCCTCCATCTTCCATAAGCCCAGATTCACCTGAGCTCTGTTGTTCTCACCTGATTCACCAGCAGGTTGTGGTTGAACACCCAGGTGTATCTCAAACTCGTATCCAGAGAACATAAAAGGCGCCCTTTCCAAAGCCACCTGAAGATTCACCTGACCTCTGTTGTTTTCACCTGATTGACCAGCAGGTTGTGGTTGAACACCCAGGTGTATCTCAAACTCGTGTCCAGGTGCGCGATCATAAACGGCGCCCTCTCCAAAGCCACCTGAAGATTCAACCCATCACCCTCCCCTCCTCCCATCCCCCCTCCTCCTTTTCCGCCTCCCTTTCCCCCCACGCGCCCTGCTCCCCCCCCAGCAGCCCCGGCAGCATCGGGAAAATAACTACCAGCGCCCATCCGCCTAGCAGACCCTAACCCTAACCCTAACGCAGCCAAATCCCCCCCGCTGCTGCTGTTCGGGACCATGTTCATGGCGATGTTTCCAGCGGCATCCAGCCCCAGAGCCCCTCCCAGCGCTGCTCTGCCGCTGCTGGTGCCGGCGAGGGAGGAGCATTCGTGGAGGGCGCGGTCGAGACGCAGCTTGACGTCTGTGAGTTGTTGCTCCAACGCTGCGAATGCTGCTGTGTCGCCCTGTTGAGGTAGTATTAAGGGGAGTGAGGAAGGGGAGGGGAGAGGGAAATGAGAGGTGCATATGACGGGAGGGGAGATGGGATATTCATGGTGATGTTTCCATCCAGAGGCATCCAGCCCCAGAGCCCCTCCCAGCGCTGCTCTGCCGCTGCTGGTGCCGGCGAGGGAGGAGCATTCGTGGAGGGCGCAGTCGAGGCGGAGTTTGACGTCTGTCAGTTGTTGTTCCAACGGATGAGTCCTGGAGGGCGCGGTCGAGACGCAGCTTGAAGTCTGTGAGTTGTTGTTCCAACGCTGCAAAGGCGGCTGTGTCGCCCTGTGAAAAGGGAGAGACAGGGAATGGGAGTGGGAGCACATAGGGCAGGGGGCGAGGGAGGAGCATTCGTGGAGGGCGCGATCTAGGCGGCGGAGCTTGACGTCCGTGAGTTGTTGCTCCAACGCTGCAAAGGCTGCTGTGTCGCCCTGTGGAGGGAGTGGGAGCAGAGAGTGGGAGCACATAAGGCAGGGAGGGAATGGGAGCACATAGGGCAGGGAGCGAGGGAGGAGCATTCGTGGAGGGCGCGGTCAAGGCGCAGCTTGACGTCTGAGAGCTGCTGCTCCAACGCTGCTGGGAGCAGAGCACGAATGGTGAACCAACAGCTGATACGATTTTTGTGGAGAGGATTTTAACTGCTTGGAAGTGTTCCCGTAACCTGCAAAGGTTACATGTGCGTGCGCGGTTACCGAACCGATCAAGTCGTTTGAAGACTCTTCGCGAAGGCTGACACTGCACATTGGGTTTCGCCCCAGGCTTAGTTGGCAATTGGGTATGATTAGCAATCTGGGTAGTTGGTTTACAAAAGTAGATCTCGAGGGCAGGAGCATGGTACTTAGCTAGCCTCTGCCCGAGACCTTTCTTTCTTGTTTGAACCTGTAAGCAGCACTGATGAAGGCCTAGCGGGGTTCTGTCTCGAAGGCCGCAACTAGTTTGCGAATAAGGGTTCTTTTGAGCTTGAAGGTTTTGAGATCCGCTTGAATTTCGGGAAGCATTTTTCCACAGTCTCAATCTTATTTGCTTAAGTGATTTCTACAGGTTTGCAGCTACTCCGCAATGAATCTCGACCCTTAGGTGGGATACAATGAAGACATTCCCTGGACAGTAACGCTCGCCCTTTGCGCACATTCTTTTCCACTCCCATCACTTCCTCCCAACACTTCCCTCCACCGCTTCCCCCTTCCCTCACCTCCTCCTCCATCTCTCTCAGTCTGCTCGTCAGCTCCTGAATGCGAGCAGCAACAGCCACAGCCTGGGCAGTAAGAGCATTGCCACCCACTCCTCTCCATACTCACCTCCACTTGAAACTGCCTCAGTCGGTTCGTCGGCTCCTAGTTACACGCAGCCAGTACCACGGCCTGGGCAGTGATGCTCGCACTTCGTCTCTTCTCCCATCCTCACCCACCTGCCCGAGCATCACTGCGTACGCACGCTTTTCTCTCCTCACCTCCTCTTGAAACTGTCTCAGTCTGCTCGTCAGCTCCTGATTGCTTTTTGGGTCGACTCAAAAACAACCTCGTACGTAAGCTTTTCTCTCCTCACCTCCTCTTGAAACTGTCTCAGTCTGCTCGTCAGCTCCTGATTGCTTTTTGGGTCGACTCAAAAACAACCTCGTGCGTAAGCTTTTCTCTCCTCACCTCCTCTTGAAAATGTCTCAGTCTGCTCGTCAGCTCCTGATTGCTTTTTGGGTCGACTCAAAAACAACCTCGTACGTAAGCTTTTCTCTCCTCACCTCCTCTTGAAACTGTCTCAGTCTGCTCGTCAGCTCCTGATTGCTTTTTGGGTCGACTCAAAAACAACCTCGTACGTAAGCTTTTCTCTCCTCACCTCCTCTTGAAACTGTCTCAGTCTGCTCGTCAGCTCCTGATTGCTTTTTGGGTCGACTCAAAAACAACCTCGTACGTAAGCTTTTCTCTCCTCACCTCCTCTTGAAACTGTCTCAGTCTGCTCGTCAGCTCCTGATTGCTTTTTGGGTCGACTCAAAAACAACCTCGTACATAAGCTTTTCTCTCCTCACCTCCTCTTGAAACTGTCTCAGTCTGCTCGTCAGCTCCTGATTGCTTTTTGGGTCGACTCGAAAACAACCTCGTACGTAAGCTTTTCTCTCCTCACCTCCTCTTGAAACTGTCTCAGTCTGCTCGTCAGCTCCTGATTGCTTTTTGGGTCGACTCAAAAACAACCTCGTACGTAAGCTTTTCTCTCCTCACCTCCTCTTGAAACTGTCTCAGTCTGCTCGTCAGCTCCTGATTGCTTTTTGGGTCGACTCAAAAACAACCTCGTACGTAAGCTTTTCTCTCCTCACCTCCTCTTGAAACTGTCTCAGTCTGCTCGTCAGCTCCTGATTGCTTTTTGGGTCGACTCAAAAACAACCTCGTACGTAAGCTTTTCTCTCCTCACCTCCTCTTGAAACTGTCTCAGTCTGCTCGTCAGCTCCTGATTGCTTTTTGGGTCGACTCAAAAACAACCTCGTACGTAAGCTTTTCTCTCCTCACCTCCTCTTGAAACTGTTTCAGTCTGCTCGTCAGCTCCTGATTGCTTTATGGGTCGACTCAAAAACAACCTCGTACGTAAGCTTTTATCTCCTCACCTCCTCTTGAAACTGTCTCAGTCTGCTCGTCAGCTCCTGATTGCTTTTTGGGTCGACTCAAAAACAACCTCGTACGTAAGCTTTTCTCTCCTCACCTCCTCTTGAAACTGTCTCAGTCTGCTCGTCAGCTCCTGATTGCTTTTTGGGTCGACTCAAAAACAACCTCGTACGTAAGCTTTTCTTTCCTCACCTCCTCTTGAAACTGTCTCAGTCTGCTCGTCAGCTCCTGATTGCTTTTTGAGTCGACTCAAAAACAACCTCGTACGTAAGCTTTTCTCTCCTCACCTCCTCTTGAAACTGTCTCAGTCTGCTCGTCAGCTCCTGATTGCTTTTTGGGTCGACTCAAAAACAACCTCGTACGTAAGCTTTTCTCTCCTCACCTCCTCTTGAAACTGTCTCAGTCTGCTCGTCAGCTCCTGATTGCTTTTTGGGTCGACTCAAAAACAACCTCGTACGTAAGCTTTTCTCTCCTCACCTCCTCTTGAAACTGTCTCAGTCTGCTCGTCAGCTCCTGATTGCTTTTTGGGTCGACTCGAAAACAACCTCGTACGTAAGCTTTTCTCTCCTCACCTCCTCTTGAAACTGTCTCAGTCTGCTCGTCAGTCCTGATCGCTTTTTGGGTCGACTCAAAAACAACCTCGTACGTAAGCTTTTCTCTCCTCACCTCCTCTTGAAACTGTCTCAGTCTGCTCGTCAGCTCCTGATTGCTTTTTGGGTCGACTCAAAAACAACCTCGTACGTAAGCTTTTCTCTCCTCACCTCCTCTTGAAACTGTCTCAGTCTGCTCGTCAGCTCCTGATTGCTTTTTGGGTCGACTCAAAAACAACCTCGCACGTAAGCTTTTCTCTCCTCACCTCCTCTTGAAACTGTCTCAGTCTGCTCGTCAGCTCCTGATTGCTTTATGGGTCGACTCAAAAACAACCTCGTACGTAAGCTTTTCTCTCCTCACCTCCTCTTGAAACTGTCTCAGTCTGCTCGTCAGCTCCTGATTGCTTTTTGGGTCGACTCAAAAACAACCTCGTACGTAAGCTTTTCTCTCCTCACGTCCTCTTGAAACTGTCTCAGTCTGCTCGTCAGCTCCTGATTGCTTTTTGGGTCGACTCAAAAACAACCTCGTACGTAAGCTTTTCTCTCCTCACCTCCTCTTGAAACTGTCTCAGTCTGCTCGTCAGCTCCTGATTGCTTTTTGGGTCGACTCAAAAACAACCTCGTACGTAAGCTTTTCTCTCCTCACCTCCTCTTGAAACTGTCTCAGTCTGCTCGTCAGCTCCTGATTGCTTTTTGGGTCGACTCAAAAACAACCTCGTACGTAAGCTTTTCTCTCCTCACCTCCTCTTGAAACTGTCTCAGTCTGCTCGTCAGCTCCTGATTGCTTTTTGGGTCCACTCAAAAACAACCTCGTACGTAAGCTTTTCTCTCCTCACCTCCTCTTGAAACTGTCTCAGTCTGCTCGTCAGCTCCTGATTGCGCTGTGCCAGAGCCACGGCCTGGGCAGTAATGCTCGCCCGAGCGTCCTCCGCCTCTTTGATCCGAACCTCCAGGCTTGTTGACCGAACCTTCCAGAAATCAACTCCTTGCTCCTTCTCCTCTGAACCTACGTGGGGAGGGGGGGAGAGATGGAGACAAGTGGGGAGTGGGTGTCAGTCAGGACTCAGGGGTCGCCTGAGTGTGATCTGCCTCTTTTGACCGAACCTTCCAAAAGTCCACCCCCTGTTCATTCTACTCTGAACCTGCATGGGGGGTGGAGATGGAGAGACAAGTGGGGATTGAGTGTCAGGGCACACCCATGCGTCCTCCGCCTCTTTGATCCGATCTACGCATTCCTGCATGTAACCCCCTCTTCTCCGCGGTTCCATGATCCATCCAACCCAGACCAGACCATGCACGAGTGCAAACAACCAGAAGCACACACCCATGATCTTGTCTCGGTCGGGATACAGAGGACTGTCTGCGTGTGAGAGTCGAGTCGAGTCGAGAGTCTTGTGAGCCTAAGACGCCCATGCAACCCCCCTCTTCCCCGCTGTCCCAAACCAACCCAACCAATCCAGACCGTGCAGAGTGCAAGCAGCAGCGCGCACCCATGATCTTATCAAGGTCGGGACACAAAGCGTGCGAGTCGAGCATCGATAGTCTGAATGAGCCATAGCAACCCCTTACACAAACCAACCCGTGCCCCAGAACCAGCAGCCGCACGTGCGCATGATCTTATCAAGGTCGGGATACAAGGAGTGTGAGTCGAGCGTCTGTGTGCGCCTCAGCCTTCCAAGCAACCAACTTGTCCCTGCTGTCCCAAGTGCATGAGCCTAACCAGCACATGCAGAGTGCAAGCAGCACGCACCCATGATCTTATCAAGGTCGGGATACAAGGAGTGCGAGTCGAGCGTCTGTGTGCGTCTCAGGCCGCCTGACGACCCAATGTCCCCTGCCATGCCATGCCATTCCGTTCAGTTGCATGTCATGCCATGCCATGCCATTCCGTTCAGTTGTATGTTATGCCATGCCATGCCATGCCATAACATGCCAGACCATGCCATGCCATGCCATGCCAGACCATGACATGCCATGCCATGATGCCATGAGGAGGGATGAAAGCAGAGGCAGTAAAGTTATTGGGTGAAAAAGTTGAGAGAAAAAACGAACCACTTATAAAGGAGTTCAAAAAAGAATATGGACCACTTACAAAGCAGATTTTCAAAACGTATATATACCACTCATTTAGCAAATTCATAGTGAAAATGAACCAGGAAGAACAACAGTGGATGGCTGAGGATGGGGAGAGCTGGGGAGGGAGAGTAGTAACATCGCTCCTCCCTAACCAAGAGAAAACCGAACTCACTCTGGCTGTCTGCAGTCGACGTGGCATGACTAGCAGCGCCGGCTCCGTGTAGCTGTTCCTCCAATGGCGACATGCCACCTGTCGCGAACTGAACCCTCTTCGCAGCATCGCTGTGAGCTCGCTGCAGCCGGCCTGACGAAGCCGTTGGATGCGGCGGAGGTAGGCCGGGTTTTAAGGACGAAATAAGCGGCGCGGGTGGTTTATTCTTTGACATGGCTGCTCAAATAGGAGCCGCGGAACGTGATGCCTTGCTGTGCGAGAAGAAAATTGTGTCTCGTTAAAGGCGAGCAGTCTGGTGCCTCTAAACGGGGATGAATTGGTAACGTTAGAGTACACTAGCTAGGGTTAGGAGTCAGTCACAATATACTGTTAAATACTGCTGCTGGTAACGAGCGTTAGTAACGACATGGTTACTATGAGTGCTGTCGTTGTATACGTGTCAAGCCTCTAACAGGCCTACGCACTCTCTTGGCATTGTCGCTTGTCGGGGTGGTTCTTTCGTTTGAAAGGGTCTTGTAATACGCCATTGCGAAATGGCGAGGGTTCCCTTTCAGAAACAGAGTCAGACGCAACGAGATGCTGAGTCTCGATTCGCTGAGAAGCATGGAATCAAATGCGGAGCTCGCGCTTCTTCGAAATTAATCGCAATGGGATGCGGAGTCATAGAGTGCGTGCGTGTCTCTGAGTCAGCGCTAAAAGTACGTTAAATACACGCCTGATGTCGCCGCGACAATGACGCCAGCTGTTCGTGGCTCCAGAATAATAACGCGTCGGAAAAATATGTTACAAGAAATCGCAACTATATGTCAGTATTGCCGTTAGAGGCGCTCCTACGTGTCGTGGGAGGCGACTATATGTCGCAATTATTTCCTCTTGATCCGCAAGCTCGTTCGCTCTCTGGGAATCACTAGTGTATACCCTGATCACCGTGAAAGCAGCAACGGATCACCGTTCAGTCTATGCCCATGCGCGGTCGCTTCAGGAAACGGTGAAG